CGTGCGTGTGTGTGCGTGCGTGTGCGTGCGTGTGTGCGTGCGTGTGTGTGTGTGTTCCCGTTATCTCTCTATCTCTCTCGTGCGCGCGCTTCCTTTCTCTCTCTCTCTCTCTCCTCTTCTCGACTAGCTCTGTCACATGCGCCTGCACGGGCCCCTTTCATCAAACGATCGCATACAATCGACCGAGATGCCACACATGAAAGGAAGCGGGGGGGGGGTGCATGTGTGTGTGTCATGACACATGATGGGTGCTTTTGTGCTTCCACACACATCGATCGCTTGCTTGCTTGGCATGCATTGCGTGCTGTGTCCTGTTTTGATGACCTGTCTGGATGACACAAGATCACACACACAAAACACACACACACACACACACACACACACACACACACACACACACACACGAAACACACACGCGCGCATATCTTCAAACAATCACACATGCATGATGACATGACTTTTGTCATGTGTCACACCCAAAATCAGTCGTTGATTGATGACACACCTTCGCGACGCAACAACAAAACAACACACACTCTCGCACACACACATACACACATACACACACACAACACACGCTTGTGTTAACACACCAGCAGACACACGTCACTCCCTTGTTGCTTGATTGTTCGTGCCACCCAGGGGCGTCCTACCCTTTTCCATCCGACGAACGAAGAAAGAGGGGCAAGGCAAAACAAAGCAAGGCGAGGCGAGCAAACAGGACGCCAAACGATCGAGCTGAAGCGTTCAACACCCTCACGTACGCAAGACCGCCGTCACGCACGCTCGCATGCTCGCACGCGCGACGCGTGACACACGTTTGTCCATTTTCATCACCATCCCCGACCAGCAACAGCGCCCATGTCTCAAGTCCAACCACAACGACCGCAACCACAACAGCAGCAGCAGCAGCCACAACCGCAACAACAGCAACAGCAGCCACAGCCACAACAACAGCAGGAGCCACACGCAAGCGCCACCAGCGGCAGCACGAGCGGGGGCAGGCCTTTGTCGTCGTCTCGTAGTTCCAGCGCACGACGACCGTCGTCGAGCCACCGCTCGAGTCGCGTGGTCCTGCCACCCATCACCCCGTCCAAGGCAAAGAAGATGAACGAAGGCAGCGGGTCAACAGCGCCCGCCAGCAACCCTCATCCAGACTCCGTCCTCGCAAAGCTGGTGCGCTCCACAGACGATTGGATTGCCGATCTCCACAAGCAGGTACGTCCATGATCTACATGTACGTCGTGCATTGCTGTGCATTGCTGTGCATTGCTGTGCATTGCTGTGCATTGCTGTGCATTGCTGTGCATTGCTGTGCATTGCTGTGTTGCGTGTTGCTGTGTCGCTGTGCATTGCATTGCCCTGGTGTGCATTCGTGTTCATGGTGGCTCACTCGCCAGGCTAACGAATGGCTGTACTCTGGCGACATACAACAGCTGGATGATGCGCACACGTCCTTCCAAGCACAGTTTGTTGACGCCAGCAAGCAATGTATGAATCCAACATTTAGTAGAAGGTCATGCAGTTGTGAGTGTGAGGTGATGGGTACAGCCAGTCAGCGGGCATGCGAGTGTGAACGCTGTCCACGCTCACACGTGCCACAACACGACGTGTATGTCTGTCATGTGCGCGTGCAGGGCAGGAGAAGCTCGAGGAAATGCAGCAGCAGCATGCTGCGGAGAGAGACATGGCAACGAAGACCATGTGTGACCTTCAACAGGACGTCGACACCCTCACAGTCAGTTTGTAGGTGGTACAAGCAATGTGTGTGTGTGTGTGTGCGTGTGCGTGTGTGTGTGCGTGTGTGTGTGTGTGCGTGTGTGTAGGAGTGTGCATGACACGTGTGTGTGTGTGTGTGTGTGTTGTGCGTGTGTGTATAATAGCACTGGCGAGGATGAGTCGTTCTTTTCCCCGAGCGCTCTCAGACAGGCCGCAGTGCTGATGCAGCAGCCACTCACACCGGCGACCGACCATGACGTTGTATTTTAGAGCCAGCTGAAAGGCATTGCCTCGGAGCGAGACTCGTTCGCCGGACAGCTTCGCCAGAAGACAGCAGAGCTGCAGGTACGTTCCCACGGCTGGCATATGTTTGCCTTGACTAGCAGTGACACGATGTGCCCGATGTGGTTCAACACGCTGCACTCTATGTTGCTCAGCACGTTGCCCCCGATCTGCTTCTTCCCCTTCACACACGCTCTTACACACACACTTGACACACACTCTTACACACACACACACACACACACACACACACACACACACACACACACACACACACACACACACACACTACACACACACACACACACACACACACACTCTCTCTCTCTCTCTCTCTTACACACACACACACACACACACACACTGTACAAAGGCGACGGCAGATGCAGTGGCACAGGGCGAACAGGTCACGTATTCACTGCAGGAGACCATTCGCACGCTTGAGGCCAAAATGGAGACACTCAACCAACAGTACGGCGAAGCACAGCTCTCAGCATCCGTAAGACATCCCACCCGCGCCGTGCGTGCACACATGCATGCATGCATGTCCCTCCACACCATGTGCATGCCTTGTCAGTGCTTGCCTGCGTGCTGTGCTCTGCGCCACCCCCGTCCCTCGGCGCTTGCGTTCACTCCGTTCACCACAACACCAACACCACGGCACTGCTGCTGTGCATGTGCAGACGCACGAGAGCAATGCGCGGGACGTGGAGGACAAGCTCAAGGCCTCCACAAAGGAGGTGACGGCGAAGCGAAAGGAGATTGCACAGCTGAAGGAGCAGTTGCAGCAGCAACAGGATGCACTCAAGACCAGCGAGGTGTGTGTGTGTATGTGTGTATGTGTGTGTATGTGTGTGTATGTGTGTGTATGTGTGTTTGTGTGGTGACTTGGTGTTTGCGGCAAATTCAAAGCTTGTGCGGCGCTGTACGCAGCGCACAGGTGCTGGCAAGCGTGCTCGCTTTGATGTAATGACATCATTGCACAGTGTGACTGCACGTTGACGCAGACGCCCTTGTCCCCCCCCCGAAATTCCCTCACAATGCACGTCCACTCTACTCCACAGGAAGCTGCCGGCGAGCGCGACAAGTTGACTGCAGCCAACAAGCGCCTGCGTGCTGAGGTGGCGTCCCTCAAGACAGAGCTGACGACAACAAAGGAGAAGCTCGCCAAGGCAGAGGTGTGACGGGCTTTCTTTGCTTGTGGGGTTGAGTTTCTATGTGTGTGTGCATGTGCATGTATAAGTGTGTATGCAAGTGTGCTTGTTGTTCCACGTGCGTGTATGTGTGCGCGTGTGTGTATGTGTGTGAGTGTGTGCGTGAGGTGACGTGTTGCTGTGCTACTGCGTCCGTTGTGTTGGTGGAATTGATGTTGCGGTTTCGTTGAGCGGCTTGCATGCAGGAGACAGCATCTCATGCACGCATTTGACTTGCACCATTGTTGGCAGGCCGAGCTGAGCAAAGAGAAGCAAGCTACAGCTGCGTTGCAGCAGAAGCACAAACTCGACAAGAGCACCGCTGCAAAGAAACACGCCCAGGACTTGAAGGTGTGCTGTGTGTGCTGTCGACAACTTGTCTTCGCCGCACATCCATGCAGATGCACGTGTGTACTCTGCGAATGTGCAAGCCGCCACACCCCAGTTTTCTTTTAGTTCAACACACACACACAACACCGAAGCTGAAGAGTAATTTCTCACTTGATTCACTCCACTCACTCCGCTCACTCCGCTCACTCATGATTGCTTGTACATGCACACGAAAATGTTTGCTCGTGCTCACTTCCTTGTGACAGGCGATGCGAGAGGAGGCCGAGTCTCTCCGGGACGAAATTGGTGCGTGTATGCGCGTGCGCTTGTATCTATGCGCTTGTATCTATGTGCGGATACTTTGGTCTTCAAGTGTTTTCCGATGAAGCGCGTGCCTGCAAGCACGATCGCTGGTGATGCGAGGTGAAAATGGTATCTGAATGTTGTTATCTGTCAATGGTCACATCACCGCTCATGTTTGCCTTTGCACACACATACACACACACACACGTGCAGATCGACTGCATGAGGTCATCGAACAGCTTCAGACCTCACAGCAGGTGCGAATTTGTGGTGAAGCGACGACTGCACACCCTCTTGCTTACACTCTTGCTTGCTTGCATTCATGCGTGCTTGCATGCAAGCATTTGATTTGCGTTCTTGTGTTTGAGGTGCACCTTCTGCAGTTGCCCATCAAGTCACCCTTGCTCCTCGTTGCTGCACGCCCTTTTTCATCACAGATGGATCCACTAGATGATCGCCTGAAACGACTCATTCGTGCGGTAAGACACACACACACACACACAGACAGACACAGACACAGACACACACACACACACACACAGACACACACTACACTGATGGCGTCTTCTGTTGATGTCGCTTCAACGCTACAATCCATCCCTTTTGCCCTTCTTTGTTTCTTCACTCCCTCGCACATGTACCCACTCCCTCGCCGACTCACATCAAATGCACTCGCTCTGTATGGTCGCAATGTACCTGCACAGAACCAAACGGAGAAGAAGAGGCTGGCGAAAGCGCGTACATCTTCCAATCGACGCTGATTGTCCCTCACTTTCTTCACTTTCCCCGCTTCAACACCACAAACCACATGCGCACATGCTCGTGCACACGCATGCACGTGCACCCGCACACTCTTCGCTTCCATTGGATGTGGCGCTGGTGCTGCGTGCCTCACCCCTCGCTCCAATCCTTGCCACCTCGTTTCTGCCTTCCTCTTTGTGTTGTTGTCTTGTCTCTGTACATACGCTGTGGTCTTGACCATACGGCTGGCACAACCCTCGCAGTGCGGTTCTCCCCGTCGGTCCTGTTCTCGTTACTGTTTCCCACCACCCCGCCCGTCCTCCTCGTCCTCGTTGTCGCTTCCTTCGTCTAATGTGCTGTACATACGCTGAGATGCGCAGCTGCTGGTGCCCTGCGTTTCTGATGCTTGTTCATACTCGATCACGTTTTTTGTATCATACCGGATGTCATCATGCATGTGAATTGCGCGTTCTTACTTGCTCGTTTCTCTGATGGGTCTGTCTGCATTTGCCTCACACGTATGCAGCAGCGTAAATGACTCAATGCTCAGGGATGGTTTGCTTGTACTGATCAACGTCAAGGGCAAGTGGCGTGGATGTGACAGCGTGACAGCTGTAACTCAAGGCACAGCAAACGGGTTGTCACACACATACACACAGACACACACATACACACAGACACACAGACACACACAGACATACACACACACACAGACACACAGACACACACACACGCATAGGTATTCATGCGCGGACGTTCACACAGAGACACGCCCATATGACATGCACAGGCGTAAATGTAACCTGCCTGCAGGCATGGTTGTGAACTACTTCTTGATGTATGTGTGGACGTAGTCGCGAACAATGTCCTTGAGGTCGACGTCGGTGGGCAGGCCAAGGGAAGCGGCCTTGCTGCAGTCCACCTCGGGGCACACGTTGATCTCCTTGACGGTGGTGGAGCCACTGTCGCTCTGCACCTGCTTGATGGCGCCAATGGCAATGCCTTCCTCCTTGGCCACTTCCTGCGCCGCGTCCCAGATCATCTGCAGCGTGAAGGACTTGGCTGGCAGCTGCACCACGCGGTTGTGGCCCATCTCCTCCCCGTCCACCTTGCCAGCAAGGTCGATGAGGCACAGGACGTCCGTGTTCAGGCTCGAGCACGGGTATGGAACCTGCCGCGGTCGTCCGTTGATGGTTGGCCGTGGTGTGTCCGAAAGCAGTGGTAACGTGAGTGGAGACGACCAAGGAAGAAGGGCAAGGTAACGCAGGGCGTAAGTATGCAGACAGCTCATTCGAACACAGTGAGACAAGCAGAAGCTTGGGCAAACACCAATGCGCACACAGGCAGACACACAGAGAGGCACATAGACGGAGACAGAGAGAAGACCCACACCCACACCCAGCCACACCCACACCCAGCCACACCCACACACACACACCCACACACACACACATACACACACACACACATACACACACACACACATACACACACACACACACACACGCACACACACGCACACACGCACACACGCACGCACACACACACACACACACACACACACACACACACAGGCAGACACACACACACACACACACACAGGCAGACAAACGCATGCAGACACACACACACACACACACACACACAGGCAGACAAACGCATGCAGCAAACGCACGTCCATGGGAAGGGGCACGTCGTAGTCCTTGCCCTCAAGGGTCTGGGTGAAGATGCCGGTGTATGGGTAGGAGATGGAGTTTGACCAGCCCGGGCGACCGATGACGGCGCTCAGGCGGCCAACCCGCCCGTCGATGAAGCCCTTGCGCGTGTAGTCGCAGAGGAGGAGCTCCACGCACGCCTTCTGCACGCCATAGGAGACGGGGGAGAGGCGGAACGACTCCTCCGTCACCGGGTGGGTGCGGTTGTACTCGTTGAAGCAGGCAACGTAGTCCGTGCTGACGTACACGTAGACCTGTGGCTTGCCCAGCTTGTCCTTGAGCTCGCGCACGCACTCCATGACGTTGATGCTGCCAAAGAGGTTGATCTTGAGGCCGAGATCAAAGTTCTCCTCCGCGTAGCCAGAGAGCAGCGCAGCAAGGTGGATGGCGGTGACGTGGGAGAAGTCCTCTGGATCAAGCACCTTTTGCATGGCGGCCTTGTCTGTGAGATCGCCAAGCACGACGTGGACGCGGGCATCAGCGCGGGTGGCCTCTGCAACGGCGCTGGGTTCCCGCACATCGAACAGCACAATCTTGCCAATGGGCTGCGTCTCCGTTGGCGACACATGCAGCGTCTCCAGCTGGGCCAGGCGATCGCACAGCCGCGCCCCAACAAGCCCACCAGCGCCAAGAACAACAACCTTCACCGCCATGACTTGCTTGCTGGTCCACTGTTTTGTTTGTTGTTGTTTGCTTTGCTGTCGTTGTGTGTTTGTGTGTGAATGAATTGCGCAAAGTAACACACCCCACAACAGCTGGCTTCTGCTCTCATACCATCTGCGTTCTGCACACCCACACCCCACGCACCACTTGTTGCTGTGTGTTTGCTTTGCTTGATGTGAGTTGCGCGTTGGAGGTACCGGGTCCCTTTCATTCAACCACACTCAGACAAAGGCAAGATGAAAGGAAGCGAGGGAGACGAGAAACAACACGGCGCATAAAGGACTTTTCCACCCCAGCCAGGTGCTTAGAAGCGGAGCTTGGAGAAGAACCATGTGTTCTCGCCCTTCTTGAAGCTGTCAACAAGGCAGTGGCAACACACAGCAAGCAGCAGGCGCGAGATGAGCTTATGCGTGCGCGCGTGTGCGTGTGTGAATGTGCAACGGGCCACAACAACAAGACCTGCACCACCCACCCATCCATCATCCATCGCACCCCCTACTTCGCAGGCATGTGGTGGTGCTGATGGGTGTTTGCTACTTACTGTCGGGACAGCTGCTTCTTCACCTCCTTGCGTGCAGCGGCCTTCTTCACCTGACGTAGCACACACAAGGCAAAGTCAAAGCACACAGCCACAGCAGGTGAGGCACCCAAAGAACAGGGCGCAAAAGCACGCAGCTACAAAACAAAACCCACACTAGCGCGGCAACCAACGCGTTTGCTACCACACACACACACACACACACACACACACACACACGTACGGGGTTCTTGAGGGCTTCCTTGCTGACAACGTCCTTGTTGAACTTGAGGTTGAGGGAGTAGCGGGTGGGCATGATGTGGTTGGTGTTGATGACCTTGACAAAAGGCACCATGCGGCTGCGCTTGGCGCGCTTCTTCACACCCATGTCCTTTGTGATCTTGCGAGGAGGCTTCTCAAGGCCAACCACGAGGCAGTGGCCGAACTTGTGCTTCTTGTCACTGCGTTTCATGACAAGCCACACCCAAAGACAGAGGCGAGACAAAGCAAGGGCCACAATGTGAGCTCAAGTGTGCCAAACGTTGTTGCTCGACGACCAATGACAAAGCACAACTGCAGCACCGCACCGCATCCACACAACAACGCAGCACACCATGCCATCCCACGAACTGTGCGTGTTTGGTGCTTACCCCTCATCAGAGTGGCTGACAATAGCTGCCTTCTTGCCAGCGTAGCGGCCGCTCAGGATGAGCACGACCTGCACATCAGTGCAACCAACAGAGAAAGGAGGGGAAGATGGGAGGTGGAGCAAAGAACACGAGAGAGAGAGAGAGTGTGTGTGTGTGTGTGGTGAGGGGAGTGGATCGGCGTGCAAAGAACACACAAGCTGTGTGCATACACATCGCTAGCGTAAGCCTGACGCCAGCACCACCCACGTTTCTCCATCCCTCTTGCATCGGTCTCTTTCTCTGGTCTGTGTCGCAAGGCAAGGCTGTCATCTGCGCATCTCGAAACAAACTGCCGTCGTTGTTGTGGTGGTGAGTGAGGAGGGAGAGCACAAGGCCCCCTTCTTCGGCGCAGCAGCAATCATCACCGTCATCATCACCAAGTTACGTGGCAGCCGCAGTTCGTCATCTTTCCAAGTGAACGTATCTTTTCTACATCTCGCCTCGTGCCATCGCCCACTCGATTGCTGTTGTCGCACAAGGCGGTACTGGGCACGTTGATGGCCACTGCTTGCCCGTGTCATCGAAGACTTTCGCAGCACAAGACGGGGCACTCTTCCGCAGCAGCCAACCAACCACCCCCATCATCCTTTATGCACACCCATCCACAGACACCCATCCACAGACACCCATCCACAGACACCCATCCACAGACAGTCAACCACAGACTGACACAAACATAGACGCGCATGCTGAGCACACAAGCTCGTGCCGGCTCACCTTCTTCTCCTTGAGGAAGCGCTGCTGTTGCACCATCTTTGCGTCTCGTGTGTGTGGTGGGGAGAGGGTTGGTGGCTGGTCGTCGAAGTCAACCTCACGCGTGTGTGTTGGGAAAAAAGGCAGAGAACAAACCCTGGCTCCAGGGTCAAATACTATTCTTCGTAAAACTTCCACTATATTTCGTGTGCCTCGTTGCATGCAACGGGCCCAATCCACACACAAAGAAAAAATAATAAAACCACACTCACATCAATCGAGAAGCAGGCAAATCAACACCGCGAACTGCACCACAACACGGACCTTGTTGATGTGAAGCAAAGCTCAAGCAAGCAAGCAAAGAAAAGCAAGCGTTCATCACATCATCCGTGCTGTCACTGGCTCACTGGCCACCGTGTCGCATCCTTTGCTCTTGTCTGTCTCGAGTCTCTCCTCACGGCGCTGGATTTTGAGCTTGACGGCAAGACGGCGAACGGCGACCGCTCGGTTTGGCGCCTGCTGTCCACGTGGGCGTCTGCCTTGACATGTGAGTGCAGTTTGTTGTGTTTGTGTTTGTGGTCGTCGTTGTGGTAATGAATGATGGTTGTGGCTTTGTTGGTGGCTTTTATGGTGGTGGTGGTTGTGGTGGTTGTGGTGGTTGTGGTGGTTGTGGTGGTTGTGGTGGTTGTGGGGGCCGTGTCTTTTGTTGTGATCCTTGTCACGCGTGCCTGTAGTGCTGTTGTGGTGGCAAGTCGTCCAGTGTGGTGGGTGTGCTGTCGAACACTTGCTTTGCTGCCTCACACGATGATGGCCACTGCCTGTTCGTGGTTGTTGCTGTACCCGTCTCTTCTTTGTTTCCCTCGCCTCCACCCAACGTGCGCAGCTGCAGCACCTCCCTTCTCAGCTGGCCCGCAACCCGAAGAAGGAGAAGGTGCGGAAGGACGCCATCTTCAGCAAGATCAGCCCCGCATGATTCCTCAAGGTACGTGTGTGTGAATGTGTGTGTGAATGTGTGTGTGAGTGTGTGTGTGGGTGAATGTGTGAGTGAATGTGTGTGTATGTGTGTGTGTGAATGAATGTGTGTGTGTGTGAATTTTGTTCGTTTGCCCTTTGCATTTCAACCCCGAGCTAGACGCTCGACTCGACAATGAAAGCAACAAAGGCAACGCCCAAGCCATCACTGCATGCATGCATGCACTCCACTCTGCTCGCTGTTCATCTCTGACTCCTTTCACCTGCCCTGCACTCCGGATTCTCCATTCCCCGTTCTTCCTATGTGGTTGTGTCAGATGATGGTGCGACTGTGAGCCCGGCTCATGCAACCACCACCGCCCAGCCGCAATCCTCTTCGACAGCAGCAGCACCATATGCTCCACCCCACGCAACAGCACCACAAGCAGCAGCGCCGCCGTCGACAACAATAGCAGCATCACCGACAGCAGCAGCAGCAGTTGCTGGACCCCCACCCTCCTCGTCCACGTCGTTTCCGTCCTCACCGCGACAGCAAGCACGCAGCAGCGTCTACGACACACTTGTCGTCTCATATCCCCAGCGATCCCCGCCCCAGCAGCACTTGCTGGGCACCATGCAGATGCAACGCCACCAGCAGCAGCACGACCTGCAACAACAACAACAACAACAACAACAACAGCAACAGCAACAACAACAGCAACAGCAGCAACAGCAGCGCCTTGCCATGGCACACCCACCAAACGCGACCTATCATCAACACCCAGCAGGTGCACGCGCGCATGTGCTACCCCACCAGCATTGTCCGCCGCCGCAACTACAGTACCAGCATCAACAGCAACAGTACCAGCACGATCAGCCACAACAGGCCCTTCCTCAAGCATCTCAGCCCACAGTCATGCTCCCACAACGACATCACTACTCCCCATATGCACCGCAGCCCGTCTACCAGCCACAGCAGCAGCAGCAACAACAACTGAAAGCACAATATGCTCACTATCAACAGCACCCACAACACCAAGCACAGCGGCAACACCACCAGCACCCACAGCAGCAATCACAACAGCCTCAGCATGCATTTGCCATGGCTGGCGTGCCCACCCTTACCACTTCCTCCATCGCTCATCCCAGCGCGCCGCCGCCCGCACATTCGGCAGCACCACCGCGCCTGCAGCCATCGCCACGCACTGCGCCAGCGTCCATGCCTCCCTCCACATACGCGCCATCACAACCACCACAGCAACAGCAAGCAATTGCACAACAACCAGCACCAGCACAGCGACACATGCCAGCACAACAGCAGCCCTCACAACAGCAGCAGCAACAGCAGCCCTCACAACAGCAGCAGCAACAGCAGCCACAACAGCTGTCACAGCGCGGGGTGATGTCGACAGATGGCGACGCCTCAGATACAGGCGCGGTTGCTGCTGCTCTGATGCCTGACGCGCCGGCGCACATGACGGGTATTGCTGCGGAGCTGGGCCTGGTCGCCCTCGCATCCGCCCTTCTCAACGTCAACGCACGCACACAGCAGTCACAGTCGCAGTCGCAGTCGGAGTTGTCGGGACAGGCTGGGCAGGGACCAGGGTCGGGCGAACTGGCAGCGCTGCTGGACCTGCTGTTGCAGTCGCCAGCACCGCCGCCAGTGGCAAGCGGCACTGCGGGCCACGCCATGACACCGATTGCCGTTTGCGGCAGCACGGCACTTCCCAATGCTGCTCGTACCACAGCCACGGCAGCAGGCATCAGCTCGTCGCCCGCCACAGCCACCACTAACGCCACCACTAACGCCACCACTAACGCCACCACTACTGCTGCAACGAAGCCCGCAATGCACGCTTCGGCCGAGCCCAGTGCGCGCACGCGGCGCAGCAGCCGAGGCAGGAAGACGGCAGCAGGAGTAACGCCACCAGCAGCACCAGCATCATCAGCGTCACCAGCAGCATCGGCATCGACCACAGCAGCAGCAGCAGCAGCAGCAGCAGCAGCAGCAGCCGAAGGCAAGGCTGCCACGTCTACACCAGCAGCGACTACACAGCCAAGCGGTGCAGCCGCAAAGAGGAATCGTCCTAGCAAAGTGTGCGTGCACGGCAAGCTGCCGACGACACCGGCCACGCTGTCGGCCCTGGGGGAGGTCGGTGCACTGCGGGAGGAGGCGATGTGGACTGTGGGCAATGCACAGACGCTCTCGGACCAGGTGACGGCCACACACGCAGCCGTCGCCGGACTGTCTCTGCAAGTGTGCCGCATATGCGCCAGCAACGTGCAGTACAGCGAGTACCTTGCGCGGGTCGACCCAGCACTGCTGGAGCGTGTGCAGCAGCAGCTGGAAGCGGAGGCACGCCAACCTGCTGATGGCGGCGGTGGTGATGAGGAGGAGGCCGGCGGGGTCAAAGCTGAACGTGAGGAAGAAGGGGAAGAAGAGGAAGAAGAGGAAGAAGGGGAGGAAGGAGCAGTAGCGACGAACGGCGAGAAAGAAGCAGAAAAGAAGAAGAAGAAGAGTAAGAAGATACAGATGAAGAAGGCGCTGAAGAAGAAGAAGGGGCAAGCAAAGCGGCGCGCAAGTGCACGGGAGAGCGGTGAGATGAAGGGGAAACGCGCTCGACACGCACACAAACGGGAAGCGGGCGAAGAGGAAGAGGAGTTGGAAGAAGATGACAGTCAGCAGGAGGAACAACAAGCAGCCGAAGAGGAACAAGAAGAAGAAGAAGAAGAAGAGGAAGAAGAAGATGCGCTTGCCAAGCTGACCCCCGTGGAGCGGTCCTTGGCGCTGGTGTCGCGTGCGTCGTCAGCACCTCAGCCGGTTGTGCTCGAGCCGCCGCCGCACCCGAATGCGCCCGAGATTCGGCGGCAGGGGCGACCACGCAAGCAGCCCGATGTCGTGTACACCACGCGCCTCTACGAGACCATCGCTCGCCCGCCCGCCACCACACACGATGGCGATGATGGCGATGGTTTTGGTGATGGTGGTGGTGATGGTGATGGTGGTGAGGGTGTTGATGGTGAGAGTGAAGACGAGGGTGAGGGTGACGGTCACGTCAAGGCAGAGGACAAGCCGCCGAGGACTGGTGAGGTTTGCTGTTGTGCATGTGTGTTGCAGTGAGTGTGTGCGCACGTGGGTGGGTGGGGCGAGCCGATGCGCCTGTGCGCTGCGGTGCATATGAGCCATTGTCACCGACATACCTGTTGTTACTCACGACATGTGTATGCGACGTGCTTGTGTGTTTGCGCGCGCATTTGTGCCCGGATCATCCTCCACCACCACCACCACCACCACCACCACCACCACCACCACCACCACCTCCTCCTCCTCCTCCTCCTCATCATCATCATCATCATCATCATCATCATCATCATCATCATCATCATCATCACTACCAGCGGTGCGCGTGCCGCCTGTTGTTGAGTGTGCTGTGCTTGATCCCAATACGGGCATGCCCGTCTACCACGAGGAGCACCCGCACGACACGGACCGCGACAGGAAGAAATACGAGCGCAAGCGCGACGAGGTGCGTGTGTATGTGTGTGTGTATGTGTGTATATGTGTGTCGTGTGGTGTATGTGTGTGCCGTGTGGTGTATGTGTATATATACATATGTGTGTGTGTGTGTGTGCGTGTGTGTGGCGTCTCGTGCAAAGCCGCTAGATTTGTTAGTTTGCGTGCCTGACCGTCGCCATTCGACACATGAACCCGCTTCGACAGTCATCCTTACCACTTCCACGCTCATCACATTTATCACCATAACCACGTTCACCACATGCCCAGGACACGAGCGATGAGCGGTTTCAACGGCGGCACGGCAAGCAGGAGTCGCTTGAGAGGCGCAACAACGCGTTTGGCGCCTACACCACACGCTTTGGCTACGAGCAGGCCCAACGCAAGCTTGCCCTCAGCCGGCACGGGCGCAGCAGGGCCCGGCGCAAACCCTCGGCAGCGCACCTCTCCTCATTCTGGCCACAGGGTGCGCATGTGCTGTGTGTATGTATGTGTATGTGTGTATGTGTGCATGTGCGTGCATGTGCTGTTGTTTGTTCGTTTGCAGTGTGTTGTGTGTGGTATGCTGTGTGCATGTGTGTGCATGTGCGTGCATGTGTGTGTGCATGTGTGCATGTTTCGTGCACATGCACCAGTGATCTTTCACTGTTTGTAGATGACACCCACTTTTGCACGGAGTCTGACCCTCATCCCACCAACACCAAACGCCATCACACACACACACACGTTCGTGTGCGTGCGTGTCTGCAGTTGAGGACCTGCGGACGCGCGATGGGGAGTATCCGACACTTCGTTTCGAAAAGCGGGAGAAACTTCCGCTTTACGCGTTTGGCGCCCTGGTGCCGCCCGTCAGCTCGCGGCCCTTCAGGTGATGCACTGTGACGTGATGCGACAAGATGTGATTTGATGTAACATGATGTAACAAAATGTGACTTGATGGGGCATGGTGTGGCACTTCCCCTGTGTTGTGTGGCTGCTCTTGTACGCAAATGGTTGTTGCGTCATGTCCACGTTGCATGCTACGTGCATCCTTTTGTTTGTGTACCATGCCTCTTCTTCCGAGCTCACTTCTCTCCACCACCACCACCACCGTCTCCTGCTGCTCTTCGACAACAGACTTTCTCTACGCATGCTGGAAGCAGAAGAGAAGGAGTAACAGAGCACACAAAGAACACCGAAGCAAAACAACAACCCCACCCCCTGGCAGCCCAGCCACATTTGTCACCTTCCCCATCCCTTCTTCAACCTGATATGCGCCCCCTTCTTGCTTTGTCCGTACTTTTTTGCGTGGTGCCAGTTGTTTGAACACGTACCACATGTTGACAGTTGTTTGTGATAACAACATATTTCACACGGCATCAACACACTAGCTTGTTCCGTCGTGCTGCCTTCTTACATTACCTGCCTACACCCCCCCCGCCTTTGTCCCTTGTTGCTTCCTTGCAATGTTGTTATGCTCCCATCAGCACATATTTGCATGTGAGTGGTTCCATAATGTAAGCATCTGTCAGCTTCGTTTGTTGTATTGCAGTGTCTGACCACCAAAGTAAATGAACACGCGCGCAGTCAAAGGGAACAGCATGTGTGTGTGTGTGTGTGTGTGTGTGTGTGTGTGTGTGTGTGTGTGTGTGTGTGTGTGTGTGTGTGTGTGTGTGTGTGTGTGTTGTGATGCGTGGATGCTGCTGGGGAGTGATGGTGTGTGTTGGCTGGCTCGCTGTCACGTTTGTTGTTTGGTAGTGTGGTTTGGTTGCCAGCCGCCTCCATTTTCTGGCATGGTGGTGGTGGTGGCAAGGCGTCATGCAGGGGCAATTATTGAGCGAGAGCAGGCATGCTACCACGCTCTGGCGAACGTAGGAACAAAGGACGAGGAGGTGAAGGCGAAGGTGCAAGAGACAACGAATGCGTGTGTGTATGCGTGCGTGTGTATGTGTGCGTGTGTATGTTTGCGTGTGTGGTGGGAGGAAAATCAGCAAAGAAGACGGAGAGAAAGCAACGGACACACAAAGCCACTTTGTATGTGTTGCGCTGGCGCGCCAAGCGGATCAGATGACGTTCATCTGGCCGTCGCCGTAGAACGCGGGCGGGGCGACGTTGCGCTTGATGCACAGGAAGTTGAGGCGGCTGGCAAACTCGTTGATGTTCACATACACCCCCTTGCGCAATGACGAGATGAACCAGGGTAGTTGGTGGGTGGTTGGCGGTGAGTGAGCACAGAAGGGAGACACAATTAGAGTGGAGTGGGGTGGGAGGAGGCAACAGGGAGGCCCTCGAACAACAACAACAACAACGATACAGGCACGCAGTGGCACATACACAGTTGCCCACACACAGTTGCCCACACACACACACAGTTGCCCACACACACACACACACACACACACACACACACACACACACACACACACACACACACACACACCTTGAGGTGGCGGTGGCCGTGGGTGCGGAGGTCAAAGGCGCGGCGACCATGCAGCATGCGCCTGTTGTTGAAGGTGAGCACGTCCCCCGTGTGCAGCCGGCGCTCGACATGCAGGTCGTCCCAGGCGTGGATGCACTGCGCAAAGGCAACATATGCCTCGTAGAAGGCAGAGACCTGGTCGACGGGCAGCGTGTTGGGCAGCGGGCCTTCAAAGGGAGGGCTCCACGTCACCTCCACTATCTCGCCATTGTGGTCTAGGCGGATAATGGGTTTGAGCGACGCAATGTGCACAGGCAGCTCGCGCTCATAGTGCACCTGCACATGACATGGTGTTGTGGGTGGTGTTTGGAATGGAGGGTGGGAAAGAAAGAAAAGGTGAGCGCGTTGTTAATGACACAGAGCGATGTGTGTGTGTGTGTGTCTGTGTGTGTGTGTGTGAGTGAGTGAGTGATACAGATTGGTATGGAAGGCAGCTACTTGCTTGCGCACGTCCATCTCCTCACTACCGCCACGCGCACACGTGTGTGCACACACCTTCTGGAACCGCATTGGGACGCGGGTGAGGACGTCAAAGTGGGCCGGGTGCAGGTCGCGGAAGCGGGAGGCAACCGCAAACGCATCCATCAGCACAGACTCGCCGCCAGCGACCGTGTCGTCAAACTGCAGAGCGTGCAGGAACTGCAGCCCTGATGCGGCCGTGTCCGTTTTGCAGGCGAAATGGGATGAAGCAGTGGTGTGTGGTGCGAGTGGAGCGGGGTGAGGAACCAAAGGGAAAAATGGCAGGCAGGGAGGCGAACAAAAGACGAGAACAGAAAGGAAAAGATACAGACACAGACACAAACACACACACACACACATACACACACACGAAGACACAGACACACAGACACACACACACACACACACACACACACAGAGCCAGAGAGGAAAGCAGGCATTGTTTGTGTTGGGGGGCGGGGGTGCGGACCTGGCGGGGATTCGTAGTAGACGATGTCCTGGTGAAGTTCGAGCTGGGCCGTGCTGTAGGCGATGTTGATGGGCGCATCCGTCGCCACCACGTCAAACGTCGTCCCGTAGATGGTTGGCTGTGCACCGAAACGTGTGCATTGGTTGGGTGGTGGGCGGTGGGAGAAGGAGGTGGTGGGGACTTTTGACAGACACGCGTGTCAAAACAGCACAAGAAAACACAGACACACACGGACAGACACACGGACAGACACACACACACACACACACACGACACACGCACACACACACGACACACACACACACAGACCTGCGGGTGGGAGATTGTGTTTGCGAGGTTGACGACTGCGTCCGTGTTGCCAGCAGCACCGGATATGACGGCATATCCGGTCTGGCCGAGGTCGTTCAACCACGCAAACAGCGCATTCTCGTCTGCAAGCACGTCACTGTACTCGTGCACGCGCTTCTTCCTCCCGGCAGCAGCGGTGGCACTGGCATTGTTGGCAGCATCAGCAGAGGGTGGTGGTGTTGTTGCGTCGTTTGTTGGGGTGGCGAGGGGGGCGGTGCGCAGGCAGTGGAGAGGCGTCATGCTCACGTGTCCGTCACATGCAGCCCGCAGACACGCTGCAACGGGCAGTGTGATGTGTAAACGTGTGTGTGTGTGTGCACGTGTGTGTTGCGTGGGAATGAGAAATGCGGGCGAGAGATGAGGGCGTGCGACATCAAAATCGCACAGGCACACAGACACACAGACACACACAGATACACAGACACACACAGATACACAGACACACACAGATACACAGACACACACAGACACACACACACAAACACACAGATACACATCAGGTGGGGGTGTGGGTGCTGTGACTGACTGTCTTCGATGGCGAGCGGGGTAACTTTGTTGACAATCTTGAGATCCTGACTCATCAGCAAGCGCTGCCCACTATGGAGGTGGTGGCGGCGGCGGTGGTGGTGGTGGCGGTGACGAGCCGGCTGGGCGGAGAGGCTCAGGGCAAGCACACAGACACACACAGACACACATAGGCACACACACACACACACACACACACACACACAGGCACAGGCACACACACACACACACACAGAGTGCTGCTGTCACACCTGTGTCGCTGGACACAGTCTGGGCATGCGCAGTTGTGGCGAAGCCAGGTGGCATTGTGCTGTGTTTCCACGCCGTCGCTCCATGTGACCTTCACAACATTGTCACACGAACCAACGACAGCCTTCACAGCATGGCTGACAAAGGGCACCGTTGTTGCGGGCACGTGCGTGAGGGGTGTGCAATTCAAAAGACCAATAACATCACCACTCACAACACACACGCACACACGCACGCACACACACACACACACACACACACACACACACACACACACACACACACACACACACACACACACACACACACACACACACAAACGTACAAAGCTCTGCGGGAGGTGCGGAGCAGAGCTGACGACAAAGCGTTCAAGGAAGCCATTGTTGCTCGCCTGTGAGATGGGGGCGCACACACGTGTGTCAATGTTGTGAGCAGAACTAGAGGCAGACACACACACACACAAAAACAAACACATAAACACATAAACACACACAAACACACACACACACACCAACACAAAAACAAACACATAAACACATAAACACACACAAACACACACAAACACACAACACACACACACACACAAACACACTCACGACGCTCTTAGCGGGATGCACGACGTGTAGGAAGCTTCCAGCGAATGACTTTGGTGGATCCCTCGGCGAGCAAAATGGTTCCTTTCTTGGCACCAGCCATAGGCCCTGCGGTGCGCAAACGGTGTCACACACGGAGGTGAACAAGGCCTCAAACACGCAGCCACGCGTTTGAGATGAAGAGTTGGTGTGCGTCTCCGGGTCGGGGAAGGCCAAAGATCAAGGCCACTCGGCTAATAACCGCAACTGCAAACAAGAGAGCTGGAGCTGGGCAAGCAATGCGAACACGAGTTCAACAACAGCGGTGAGCGCGCACGTTTATGTGAACGAATGAACAGATGAATGAACGGAAGAAGCTAAGCAACGCACGTTGACGCAATCGGGAACCGCTTGCTTGCTCGCTTGCTCTCTCGCTCGGTCGCTTGCTGACACGTCACATACCACCACGCGCTCCCACTCACGCAAGTTGAAGGATTGCCGTAATCGACGCAGGAACCTGCGCAGCAACGTCACAAGTGAGGGGCAGCTGTGGATGCAAAGAAAGCGCTTGCTTGCTTGCTTGTCTCGTTGCTTGCAGCAGCGACAGCGTTGTGGAACGTGTGTGTGCGTGTGGGTGTGGGTGTGTGCACGTCGTTGTTGTTGTGCAGAGACGAGTTGACGAAAATACCATGAAGATATACGTGAATTGTCAGTGACGCCAACGCCGCTTGATGCTGGCGATGATGACGATGACAACGCAGGCGGTGCTGAGCAGGGGAAGTGGGATGGTGGAGCAAGTCAGTGCAAGGGTGGTGGCTGCCTTTGTGGGGAGAAGGGGTGTAGCAGTGCGGATGAGGACGGCAACAAGAAAGGCAAAGCAGCAGCAGCACCAAGCGAGAGCCATGTCGTCCTCGCTGTCGTCGTCGCTGCGGACACGGACTTCGCAAACATTACCCACACAATCAACCACAACAGCACCAACAACGGCAGTGACAACAGCAAGAGTGGAGCAATGCAGCTGCCATCGCGTGCAGTGGCAGCAGCAGCGTCGACCAATGGCGGCACTGGTCAAGGCCATGGGAAAAGGATCCTGGAAGGAGGAGGCAGACAGGCACCTGGCACTGAACCAGCAGCAGCTGATCCAAGCGCTGACCAGCGATTCCCGCATGCTCACCGTCACCGAGGGGCGACAACAATTCCCCGTGTTTGCACAGCTGCTCAGCACGGCCATGCATGCTCGCATGCTCGGTGTCTGGCAGGACCTCAAATGCATGTACAACCCGTTGGACCCGGACAAGGACATCAAGTCACTGCCACGCGCCACCACCGCGAAAGACGCCCTCCACGACTACCAGCGCTTCATGTCTCTCTTCTCCAAGATTGTCGACAACGCCAACTTTGATCGTCTCCCCACGAGTGCGTTGTGCGTTCGGTCGTTCGTGTGCGTGTGTGTTTGTGTGTGCGTGCGTGTGCGTGCGTGTGTGTGTGTGTGCGTGCTGTGCGTGCGTCTGTATGTGTGTGTGTGTCTGTGTGCGTCTGTATGTGTATGCGTGTGTGTGTGTGTGCGTCTGTATGTGTGGATGCGTGTGCGCGCGTCTGTATGTGTGTGTGCGTCTTGAGTGCGTGTGTATTCACCGTTCGCATGCCTGTACGCATACTTGCGTGTGTGTACGTGCTCATGCTTCCTGTGCTCCATGTTTGCCGACAGCACGGTTGGCGGCGGAGGTGCAACAGAAGGTCACCGCAGAGGGCGTGAAGGTGTCCGCAGATCCGGTACGCACATCGACACTGTTCACTGGCCCTATTGAGCGTGCTTCCAATATCGCTGGTTGGTTTTACCTGTGGCACACGCATTCGCACACGCACACAAATGTCATCTACACACACACGCTCACAAATGTCATCTCCACACACACACACACACACACGCACACACACGCACACACACAACACAACATACACACACACACACACACACACACACACAACACAACATACACACACGTGCGCGCGCACACACACACACACACACACACACACACACATACAGTCTGCGTTCCGGGACATTCGCGTGTGGACGCGTGGGACGACGTACGCGGCCGAGCGCACATGGCACCGACGGGCAACGACGCTGCTGCAGCGGCTGCGGGGCCAGCCTACTGAGGGCCCCAAGCACGTGTACCAGCGCGTGCTGCTGACGTATCGCGACCCAACCAATGCATTGCACGTAAAACTCTTCAAGGACATCGAGGACGACCGCCTCGAGCTGCTCCTCCCAAATATCCGAATTGAAATGTCGGACTTTGACAAGTACTTCCTGTACTCATCCGTGGCCATGGTGGGTATGACCAGCGCATACCGCCTCTTTAGCAACAGCGCCCTCACTATGGGCGTGCTGAGCAAGAGTCTTGCTGTCGTGCTAGCGGCTGCGGGTGTGGCGTTGTTGCAGTACTGGACAGGTCTGCGCAACAACAGGAACGCGTACACGGCCAAACACACGCAGCTGCTGTACACCAACAACATCAGCGACAATCGCAGCGCCCTCGCCCTTCTCGTCGACCGCGCTACTGTGCGTTCGATTGTGCTGTGCTGTGTTGCGTGTGTGCGGTTATTATGATCTGCAGCCACAACACTCTCCCAAGCCATTTCCCCTAGCCCTGACTCCCTCATACACACACACACACACACACACACACACACACACACACACACACACACACACACACAACAACACACACTCACACAACAACAACAACAACAACAACAACAACAACAACAACAACAACAACAACAACAACAACAACAACAACAACAACAACAACAACAACAACAACTTAAAACCAACAACAACTTACATTAAACAACAACAACAACTTAAACACCACCACCTCCTGCCTGTCCTCTCACGTATCCCATCATCACAGGAGGAAGAGTATGCAGAGCTGCTGCTCGCTTATTTCTTCCTGGTGACAACACCTGGCCCGCTGTCTGCGAAAGGATTGAGTATTTTGGTCGAGGAATGGCTGCTTGAAACGTTTCGGGCGCGCGCAACCTTTGATGTGGAGGATGCGTTGAAGAAACTTGAGGAGTTTGGGTTGCTGAAGGACAGGTGGTACGACAGGCAGCTTCGTTGTGACGTCGTCACTGCTCAACCACTTAAACGCGCCCTGACGCAATTGCAGGAGATGCCGCTGCAAGGCGTCGCCGGGTTGCAGCAGGGATACAAGCTGCAAACCATGGCCAACTGAAGTAAGTCGAACAGCTTTGTTGTGGTTGTTGTGTTTGTGTGTGTGTGTGCGTGTGTGCGTGTGCGTGTGTGTGAGCGAGTGCGTGATTGGGTGAGTGGGTGATTGGGTGATTGGGTGAGAAACTTGCATAGGGGGTGTGCACGTGTGGTCCTGCTGCCCATTTTGTTACTTGCGGCTTCGTGCGCTGGAAATGAAACCAGATCGTGTAATTGTTGAACGACCAACAACAAAAGCTTCTAAACGCAAAATGAGACACGGCACAGAACGCGAAAGAGGACTACGAAACGCAAACACGCAAAACGAGAAACAAGACAGGAAAGCAGCGAGTGAATGAGCGAGTCAAGCCAGGGAGACAGCAGCGCGAAAGAGAGCCAAGCAACATGCATGCATGCAAAAGATCAAGGACGAGCACAACCGCAAACGCAAAAGGAAGCGAAAAACTGCAAGACGGAACATCATAACCCTGACAAAGTGAGGACTAACAAGGGTCACTCCAACACAAAGAGCGAGAGGGAACTAGAGAGAGAGAGAGAGGACACACACACACACACACACACACACACACACACACACACACACACACACACACACACACACAAACCTTGCGATTTCCCACATGACGACGCCAAAGGCCCAGACGTCGCTGCCTTGGGAGAAAATGCGGTCGTCCAGGGCCTCAATGGAGCACCACTTGACGGGAAGCTTCATGACCGTTTGTGACTGCCAGTGGTCGGAACCTTCAGGAAGGCGGCGCGTCAGGCCAAAGTCGGCGACCTAAACGTCATCGAGACGCAGCAAGACAAAAGGGTGCAGTGGTGTCAGTATCATGGTGTGTGAGCAACGCTGTCATCGGATCCAGTTGCGTCAAACAGCAGCAACGAATAGGTCAGTTGAACAGCAGCAGCAGGAACACCACCACCACCACCACCACCAACAACAACAACGCCACCAACAATAATAGCCGCTGCAACAGCAATCACCTTGATGAGGTTGCCGTGGTGGACGAGGCAGTTGCGAGCGGCAAGATCCATGTGCACCATGTTCAGGGATGCAATGTGCTCCATGCCCTTGGCAATCTGTTGCACACACACACACACATGCCAGACTCTTACGATGAGCAATGTCACAGATGTACTGCTGAAAGGCTGAAGACCGCCAGCCACTTGCAAAGTGGGAGAGGAAGAGAGAGGCAGACACGGAGTGCTTGTCTCTCTCGCTCTCTCGCTCACATACACACATATACACACATACGCACACACCTGGAGGGCGAAGGAGAGCTGTTCGTTGTAGGAGAGGGTGATGTCCTTGGCTGCGCAGCCCTTGAGGACATTACGCAAGTCGCCATACTCAAGAAACTCCAGGACCATCAGCCACGGCCGCTGCTGCATCGCAACCCCAATCAGCTGAACACGACCATGATGGTGGTGGCGGTGATGATGGGGAAGACGAGTTGGTGGTTGAGATTTGTGTGCGTGAGTGAACAGCGCACGGGCGTGTCAGTGTGAGGAGAAGGCGGGACAAGAAGAGAAACATGTTTGATTGACATGCGCACGCGAAGGAAACAACACCAAAGCGAAAGCACTTGGGCTCGACATGTGGACGCGTGCGCAAGCGAGTCCAACTATGATAAGTCCAACCATCACACTGGTTCATACGCTACGTTAATTGAAATGCGCACCGTGACGAGGTTGTCGTGTTCAAGGTCAAGCATGATGGTCGCCTCCTTGATAAACTCCTCCTTGTCGTCATTGGAGGCGCCACCACGAAGCATCTTGACGGCGCGCCGGACCATGTTTCCACCATCCTCGCCCTGCCCATCAGCAACCGTCTGCCACGCAAGGTACACCTGCCCAAACTGGCCGGCGCCAATGGCCTTGACAGGCCGAAGGTCCACGCGGTGAACCTGCTTCTTGAACAGCGCTCCTGGCGGCGCCTCACGCTCCCCAACCGGCTGGAACGGATTGCCGCCTGGGAGGCCAGGGGACAGGGGTGAGTACGTGTGCGTGTGTTGTGAGTGAGTGAGTGAGTGAGTGAGTGAGTGAGTGAGTGAGTGAGTGAGTGAGTGAGTGAGTGAGTGAGTGAGTGAGTGAGTGAGTGAGTATGTGAGTGAGTGTGAGTGTGTCAGTGTGTGTGTGAGTGAGTGAGTGAGTGAGTGAGTGAGTGAGTGAGGGAACAGATGTGTGAATGTGCGCGCGCAAGTGCACGCGTACACGTGCATGAGCGCAATCGATGAAAGCAAGCATGGTCGCCTCCACAGCAGCATTGCAAGGATGCTTCACCAAAGGATCACGAGCGCACCTGTCTTTGCGACCTCCTCCTTGAACGCAGCAAACGCGTCACCGAACGATGTCGCAATGTCAAACGCACGCTCGCCTGCAATTCAACCGGAGGAGGTGGAGGGATGGTGTGATTCGATGGGGCGTGACAGGAATAATGGGTGCGTGGGTATCGTTCAT